AAAAAAAAAAAAAAAAAAAAACAGAGATGAAAAACCCTAAAAATGTTTTGACGATTCTGAGGTACACCCACTCCAATCAAAGTCTGAACATGAGACAATTAAACAGCATAACAAAATAAATTGCACAAATAGGTAACAGCAAACCAAAAGCAACATGGTTACACCAACATGCATTTTAGTCTCATTTTCTTTTCTTTTTCTTTTATTCTACCATGACAGCAACAGACCCTTACAAGCTGAATTTAAACACTAACCATCACTCACTTTAGCATGCCAGACAACAAATAAAAGGTACAAAATCTAGGTTCAACAACTAAAACCAAAAAGGCAAAAATAACAACATAAGGCAAATAAATCATCTCGTAAAACATGTTCTCTTTTCCTCATTCTACCTCAAACATTGACAATACTTATTATGACCTTAAAACTGAAAATAAACACTTTAACAATCACTCAAATCCAGCCTCAATTTCGCATGAAATTGTTCAACGCGTCACAGCAAGGTTCCAAAAAAACAATGAGGCCAATTAGTACCACATAGTCCCATTTTCACTCTCTTTCTCATGTTCAAGCGTTCATGCTAAACTGGACTAGAAACTATGGTTTAATGCTCCAAACACTTTACTTACAACAATATAATCAACTAGATCTTAGCATAAAACAGGGCAAAGAAGGGTACCTAAACATACACATAAACATCATAAGATTTCATCTCATTTCTCCATCATTTACTCTAAGTTAGCCCATTACCACTAACAGAAAGGGAACATAAATTGGTATTTTCTCCTTGAATTAGAGTCTGCAAAACATCCTAAACATAAGCCCTTGCACACTTTCAAAAAAAAAAAACAGAGATGAAAAATCCTAAAAATGTTTTGACGATTCTGAGGTGCTACTGGAAATTTACGAACTTCCGCTTAATATTTTGACGATATAAATCGGCAATTTAAGTAAAAAAACCCTAAAAATCGCAACACAAAAAAGAATAAATTTTCACCTTGTTTCTCCGGAGATACAAATCGCACCCGAAATCGCCGGATGTCGGCAAATGTTTTTAAAATTTTCGCACTCGAAATCGCCAGAGATGAAAGCAGGAGACGGAGCAAAAGAGAGAGAGACTTCTGTAAAATTTTGAAAGTGGGAGACGGAGCAAAAAATTGAAGAAGGTGAAAAAATTGAAAAAAGTGAAAAAAGGGCAATTTGGTACTTTTACTACCCAAAATGGTTATATTTCATCTTTTTAAAAAAGATGGCTAGATTTCATTTTTTGTTTTGTTTAAGTACTATAAAGCACCATTACCACTTCTCTTTTTCTCTTTCTCAGCATGTTTTGTTTTATTTTATTTTTTTTGGAAAATGTGTGTTCTTAATCTCAAACCAAACGGGTGCGGTCCCACGCAGATGAAGCACACTAAGACAGAGAAAGATCAGATGAAGCCAAGTGTGGTTCAATCCCAAAACCAATTGGTGGTATGAGGAGTAGCCCATTAAATTTATACATTAAGCATATTTTTTTTATATAAACGATGGGTGACAACTCGAAAGTGATATTCTAACAGTATCTAACAATTGGGAGCCCAAAGAAAAAAAAAAAAAAAAAAAGGTTAAATTTAATGGTAAACGTGAGAATGCAATTGATGTAAACATACAAATTAATTATTTGTTTGAATTGATTATGAAAGTTGAAAAATAATCATATTTGAACCACCTTGAAGCTTGGCCCTATGAACCTTAACAAACCAATGGACCATGCATATATTTTTCTCCTATTATTAATTACTTGAAAGAAATTCAACTAATCAATTGTCATGCCGATTTTGTCGTTTCTACTAAGCATGATTCTTGTCGTAATATTGACGGAAATAGAACTTTTTAAAAATTTTAAGCGGATATGTGAGCATGACGTGTCAATTTTAAGCTGAGATTTCAATTAAAATTATTTCAAATTAATCAATTAAAATCTAAAACATTGTCAAGTACATTATTAACTAATTGAATTTCAATAAAAACACTTTTGATGAATTTTACTCAGTTATGTTCTAAGAGTTCTCAGTTCTATATATAAAATTATTGACTGCAACATTTTTAAGTACCTTAAATTATGAAAAATATAATAAAAATAATAGTCATGTGAAATTAAGATGGGGTTAATAAATACTTCAATTGCTTAAATTAAAACAATAATTTTGTAATGTGATGACAGACTATCCTCAATTATCATTAGGTATGAAATAATGTTAGGGAGCTAGAGAAAAGTCACATACAAAAGCTAAATGAAATATAATTAATGATTGGTTGGCCATTAATTTGCATATGTCCCGCCAGTACTTTTGACAATAACAATGTAAAAATATTAATTGAATTAAAATGAAAAACTTAAGGTATAGCTTAGATAATAACACTTGAAAGGTACTTGCCACATACATTGATATCCTCCCTATATATAATTGCAGAATGCGCT